AAACACTTTTGTATGTATATAATAGTTGTGTATATGAGCTGAAATGATGTACACTTTTGCGTAACGAGCCGATCGCTGCTTGATATTAGGGTTGTGAAACACTTTTCTTAGTTGCTCTTGTGCTTGGAGCTCCACTACTATAACCCACATAGTTTTTGCTCGCCGCCTTCCTTGGCCTCTTCATGAAATTGCTGAGTGGAATATCCTCAAGCCCACCTTCCCCTTGCAGCTGCGCATGCACATCCCCAGTTTAAAATTATGTCTCCTCCGCCACATCAGATCTCTTCTCATCCAACTGTTTGTCCTCTTCATTCTTGTTATTCTTGTTTACTTCGACTCTCACTTCTTTGTCTCCACTGAAATGCTCCTGGAGGTTACCCACTGCATAATCAAGCACGAACTCATTATCAAGGATTTCTCTATCGGTATCATGTCGGTCAGCTTCATCCACAGTTGGCTTTTCTTTCTTTTACTGTGCAATAATCTTATTCACATTTTCCTTTAAAACTTCAAAATCTATTATGTCACCAGATCCTTCCAATCCCTTAACTTTTTTGCTAAGCCTACGAATCTCGTTCATGAAGGTTTGACAATACAATTTCTTTGAGAGCCTCAGTGAACGACATATTCTCTGATTTAGTTTAGCAGCATTTCTCTAGAATTTGAGCTGCTCCTTAATTGGTAACTCCTTAATCTCATCTTCCCTTTGAAAAGAATCATCAATGGCGTTTGATATAATCTGTAGTTATGTAAAAAAACAGTTAACAGTTGCTTATAAAGGTTAACAGGTAAAGGCCTACAGTTAACACATACAACTTAAATCCAGACAGTTCACATGTATGCGCTAATTATTAACATGCAATCAAGTACCAGGCACATCCTTTCATCAAAGTTAACAGTTCATCTAATATACTTAATGTACACTGGTTTAGCTCTTAGATTTTACCAAACCTATTGACGATCTCTTCTTTTCTTCCTTCTTTTTACCCTTTTTTCTTCTCCAATCTTCCTCATGCTATCTTCTTTCTTGTCCTTAATAAATTTTTTCGGAGAAGGTCACATCTGTTTCTTTGCTAGGAGTCGTTGAATCCCTTTACTTCTAATCCTCATTGAATCATCTTCCCTTATATTTGGCCTTCTGAGTAGATATTTCTCTACCCATGGGCCAAATTCAGCTAGCGGTTTCTGTACAACAGAAATGCTAGCTTTTCTAGCTTTTGTAACTACTGTGTCCTTTCAAATAGATCCAGACTTCTCACCAATCAACACTCAGTTAGAGAGGGGTGGCTTGAATCTATTGCTCACGGCATATATTTTAATCCCTATCATTTCGTAGTACCATAGCTGCAAACAAATTGTTCCAATTAATCAGTTAGTATGCACTATTAATCTTTTAAACATGAATATAGTTAACAGAACTGAATTGAAATATAGTTAAACATGAATATAGTTAACAGAACTGAACTGAAATATAGTTAACACTAACCTCACAAACTTTAACATTAGCCTTAATATAGTTAACATGAACCAGTTAACCTTAATTACTTTTAACTTAAGTTGACAGAATACAAGCAAACATTCACATGCACAAGTTAACCATAACAATAAAAAAAGTTAATACAACTTATAGGGATCAGAGGCATGCATCCAAGCACATATAAAACTCTTGGTTTGTTCAGACCTTCCCTAACAATCTTAATTCCTTTCTTCGTCTGGTCATAAATGTATTTCCCCCAGGCCACATTCCTCACTCTTTCAATGCAATCAACATATATGAACAAGAGCCTAGGGATGCCTTGGACACTGCTAGGACACCAAATCATCGAACATTGATAAAGAATCTGCAGTAACAAAAAATCCTCAATATCCTTCTTCTTTTTTGATTCAACAAGAGATTCCAATAGCCCTTCCACATATCGCCGCATATTCTTCGATGATTCTTTTTCACTTCTAGTTAATTGCTCAGCAAAATACTCCAACCAAATCCTAGGGTGAGGATCTCTATTACTGTAAATTATTTCCTCGTCAATTGGGAAACCAGTGTGTTCATGAACCCAGTCCATATCAAAATTAACAATCTTTTCTCTCCCACTTTCGACATCGGGCAGAGCAAACGTCACTTTATTTCCTACATATTGACTCAAAACTAGTTCAAGCATGGGTCGATCTAGGGCTGGGGGGACCAAACATTACATAATGCTCAAATGTACACCCTTGGTATGCATCATAGCGACACCGCCTCATTCTTGGTTCGAGGACTTTCATAAAATCATAATATGCGCTGAAACTAGCTGTAGGTCTAATTTCAGCAGCAGCACCAGACTTTTTCCTGTATTAAAATTTAACATTTAACATCAACCTCTCTAAACTTAACATCCAACAACAATTAGTTAACAGGCAATAATGAAATATAACAATTATGCTATACACCTTAACAAACAATCACCAGATTTGTTATCCACCAATAAAACTTAACGCATGATGTGTAAAGTTAGGTATCAGAAACCAATACCTTCAACCAATGTCCAGAGTTAACAATTTATAAGAAACGTTAGTAGCTTATAACAAAACGTAACAGCCATTCATTCATTGCTAATATAAAATATGTTACATTTCATAGATCCAGGCATATAGTTCACAATGCACCAACATTAATCTGTAACATCTATCTAAATTGTAAATTTTAAGATCAACTTACTTCTTTATGGATTTTTTAATGCCTGTTTTGAACTTGTAATTTTCCTTTTTCTCGGTAACCCCTTTTGCATGCCCAACAGGGTCTGAGTGGCTTCATCAGTGCTGTCATTCCCTAATGATGACGCATGGGTGGACGAAGACTTGGGCGGGGAGGAGGATGAGGGGTCTTCATAATTCTAGGAAGGCGATTCTTTACGAGTCAACGCCATCGAGGGGAGGTCTTTAACCTCGGTCGAAGACGAGTCTTGTCGCTCGTCGTTCGTTAGCGCAGGTTCCTGGCCTTGCAGTTGCGGAGGAGGACGGTGAACAACTTCGAATTCTTTCGTCGGTTTTTTGGCCATCTTCTGTCAATTTCGACCAAACCCTAGAGTGGAGATTTGGGAATTTCGCCAGCTACAGTTAACTATAGAGAGGGAGAGAGACATAGTGCGGGAGGGAGAGAGGAGAGAGAGAGAGGGATAAGAGAGAGAGAGAGAGAGAGAGAGAGACTTGATTTGAGTTACAGAGTGGGCAGGCGTCGTTACCAACACGCTGGTACTGTAGCGCTATGGGCGGGAGGGGTAGTTTTAGAAATTTCCCTCTCATTTTGCTGAGTTGGCGAGGCTGAAATGCAATTTTACATTGTATTTGGGTTTATACATAGGGGTAAAAGTACAAGGGGTTGATGCACATTACTTTTTAACTTTTAGGGTCTTGAAGCATTTTTTTCTAAAATTTAACTTTCTTTCTTGATTTCATTACTTCTAAGCTCAATATATTGGTCTGTATTTGTTTTGTATGTTTTGTAAAAAGTACATAAAAATTGCATGTAAACGCATTCAAAATTTGATATACATTTAGGTCAAAACTAGTTATAATCAAAATGCTGACTACATAATATATGCAGTACTAGTGCTATACCGGCGCTAACACCGCAGGGATTTTTTGGTGTATAATTCACTAACCCGATGTATTGAAATCTAAATACAACTATATTTATTTAAAAATTTTGCTGAAAATTCAACAGCAAATTTTTTTTTGTTGTTGTTACTTTTCTCTATCTAAATTTTTTTATTTTAGCTGTTAGTACCTGAGTTATGCTTTAAGTTTATTAAACACACTATATCTATCTATGCAATAAACGAAGATTTAAAGAGAAAGAAAGAAAGAAGAGTTAGTGTATATCTAAATAAATTTATAGCATTAACAAAAAAAAATCCAAGAAAGAGCATCATTTTCAACATCCGTAAAAAAAAGAAGTAAATGATACACTTTCAAAGAGTAGAATATTTTGCATGTTTCACCATGATCTTCTCTGCCAAGAAAGTAAATATGAGTAAATTAACAAATTATATAAAAAATATATTGCCAACCATATTCCTTCTTATATAAATCAATTAGCAATCCAGTAACGAACAATAAATATAGTAATATGAAAAAAAAATCAAAACTGATCATGAGGTTTTTCCTCAGCTATTTGGCACCTCATCAACAAATTTTTAACTCTTAGATGCAAGCTCTCGATTGCACATCCTTCATTCAAGAGCAACTCATCTGCAAAAAGCAAAAAAGAAAAAGAAAAAAAAAATTCAACGGTCCGATGCCATCATAGAAAATGTGTTCTCTTGATGAAACAAAACATCACCTCCTTGATAATTATACAAAGAAATCAAAAGGAAAACAAATAAAAAAAATAAGATCATATAAAAAAAAGTTTTTAATCTTTTTGACTTAAATCATTATACATGAGTTACCCACTTTTGGAGGGACTAATTTTCAAAACCAACCTATTTTCAGATTTAATCCTAAAAAAAGACTTGTTTTGAACTTATTTGCGAAAACGTCGGTTTTTAAAAAAAAAATCCGAAACGTCACGGGAGTTCAACTCCCGTGAAGTTTAGTAAATCTGCTAAACTTCACGGGAGTTGAACTCCTCCCGTGAAGTTTAGCAGCTTTACTAAACTTCACGGGAGTTCAACTCCCGTGAAGTTTCGGAAGCTTTTTCATAAAAACCGACCTGGTTTCAGCGTCAATGCTGAAACCAGGTCGGTTTTTGCAAATAAGTTCAAAATAGGTCGTTTTTGGGGATTAAATGTTCAAATAGGATGGTTTTAAAAATTTGTCCAGCTTTGGAGGGCTTAAATCTCCACAATGAATGGATGACAGGGTTTAACCGGGTTAAAATCTAAACGAAACAAAAGAACAGGGGGTAAAAAAAAACCCACGCTCTTGTTTGGGCTATCAAAAAAAAAAGTTGGGCTGCAGCTTGAAGCGTACTGAAACTGTTATCTAATAACCGAGCTAATTTTCATAAAACCCAAGAATCAAAGTAAACGAGAAAAAAACAGAAAGGAGAAAAAAACAGAAAGGAGAGAAAAAAAGGCCCTTTCTCCTACCTCCATCTCTGAAGCTCGATCGGATCCCATTCTCACCATTGATGCGCTCGGATCCGAACCCGACTCGAACTCTCCGTTGAGACTCGATCGCGGAAATGGAGGACGAAGCTCAGAAGAGGAACACCGATTGCGTCTACTTCTTAGCTTCTCCCCTCACCTGCAAAAAGGTCCCATTTGATTAATTTAGGGTTTTGTTTCCTTTACAGCGTTGGGCTTGTGTGCCTTTGATTTGTTTCGTTTTGTGTGTAATTGTTCTTCGTTCAATTTAGGCTCATTTGGTGTGGAGTTGAGATCTGGAGTTTGTGAGATTGAGCGGCTAGGAGCGTTCCATAGTTATTTTGGTCTGGATTTAGGGTTTTTGTTTCATTTGCATTGTGGTTTTGGTTGGGGTTTCTAGGGATTTGATGCTTTCCTTTTGTGTGCTGTTGTTCTTAGTTCAGTTTTGGTGTGCTTTGTTGTGCGATCGAGATCTAGGGTTTCTTGGGATTGAGCGTCCAAACTCGAGAACGAAACGGAAAGCCTAAAATTTGAGGCCCCATAAGTTAATATGTTTTTCTTTTATTAGATTCTCCTCTCACCAGCAAGAAGGTTCCAATTCATGATTCCTTACCAGAGGGGGAAAAATCCTTTTCTCGTTTGATTTTGGCCCATATTTTAAGGGTTTTGTTTAATTTGCAATGTGGTTTTGGTCGAGGTTTGTACCCATTTGATGTTTCCTTTTGTGTGTGGTTGTTCGTGAATTTCAGCTTTTTTGTTGTGGAATCGAGATCTAGGGTTTGTGAGATTGAGCAAAAAAGCACACAATGGAACAAAAAAATGACCTAAATTTGAGGCACCATAAGTTAACATGTTTGTTCATTTCTTAACTTCAATGATCCCTCTCCAAGAAAAATAAAAATAAAAATAAGAAATAAAAATAAAGATTGTGTTATTTTGGTTTGAAGTTTGGGTTTGTGTTTCATCTATAATGTTGTTTCGATTGAGGTTTGTGGTTATTTTATTTTATTCCCTTTATTTATGGTTGATTATTCTTCAATTAAGTATGGGTATTTTGTTGGTGGGATTTAGATCTTGGATTTTTGAGATCGAGACAAACACACATAATGAACAAAAAACCTAAAGTTTAAAGTCCCATATGATAATATGTTTGTGAATTTTCTTAGCTTGAATGATCCCTTTCTACAAAAAGTTATGCTCAATGTGATTTGATTGAGGTCCCTAGGTACTTGATTTTTTTCCATGTTCATCATGCTTGGATTGGAGACTTGTTTTACACCGGGATTATATAACTCGCTATAGTCTTAGGATATAATAATCTAGCAGACTATAATGAGTTAAATTTTTAATAATTTGTTTGGTTCAATTTGTTATTAATACCTCTAATACCTGAATTTTGTGTGGGAACTAGTCATTATAAGGTGGTACATGATTAGACCATATAAGTCTCGAATGTGGGACACTATTACGAATCGCGACTCGGGTTCAATTGATCAAGATTCATGGTGGAACACGATTCAATGCACCAATTCTAGCAACCCAATTTAGAATTCAATCCAATTAAAAGTTTGACGAAAAATACTCTTTTTCAAAAGAATAAAGAACAAATTACGTGAAAAATTAAAGCAAATAAAGGATGCATACCTTAATTGCAACATGATTTTCTAGGTTCTTTCACCATTACTGTTATCAACTAGCATATGTCTTAAACTTAACTCTTGCAAAACCTTTGATTCCTACATTTAACAACCAAACCTAAACATATTGTACCGTATAAGACTACCTCCTTCATAACCGATTCCCTATGAGTGGTGTACTACTCTCCCGTACTTGTCCCTTGATCCGGAACGAATAGGGTTCCATGCAACTATGGATGAGACATAATAACAAATGTCCACAATGCCCTTCTATCTAATAACCATGACTTGAAATTAGTTGTAGTGAATTTTGACAGAGCTATGGTGCATATTGAACATTCCCTCATTTCTATCTCAACATCTCAAGCTCAAATTCATAGAGGCAAGCTTAAACTCATAGGATAATAACCTTTATGCCTACTTAAAATGTTCAGTAATCAAAAAGATTAGGCGGCCAACTATGTAAGCTAGCTGTTTTGCTCCCTTTTCAGTGATGACAATCTAGAGGCACTGAGAAAACTATCAACCTCTTGTCTGTGAATGAGAATGTGCTGGTGGTGAGTTCTTCATAGGCCAACTAAAGAAGAAGCAAGCGTCTAATAATTAACATATTATGAGTTATCCATTGATGAATGCAAATTTTATTGGAACAATTGGCTGAAGGAATTTTGGCAGAGATTTTATTAAATTTTTTAGCTCAAGTGGGGAGAGAGAAGTGAGAGGAGAGAGAGTGTGTGTGTTAAGGGGCAAAAGTCTAATCCCAACTAAAAAGTTATCCATGGACTATAATAACACCCCCCCTCCCCCCACTGCTTTATTTAGTCCGAAAACTTTGAATTATTTCTTTTCAAAAGACTAAATTGTCCCGACCTAATCCCCTCCAAAGTTTTGAACCAAACACTTCACAATTTTATTTAAAGGATAAAAGATTTAAAAGCTTATTACCATGTAATAGTACCCAATCTAAACATAGTCTTTGTGTATAATTATTCTTACTTCTTAGTTAAATTTTAGTTATTTTGTTGCGGGACTGAGATCTAGGCTTTTAGGGATTGAGCAGCGAAGAGTGGCTGCTTGAGCCAAAACCAAATGGTGAAACATAAACCCAAAAGTTGAGATCCTATTAAGTTCATTTTTTTGTGCATTTGTTAGCTTGGTTGATCCCCCCCCCCCTCCCTCCCTCCCTCAAAGAAATTCTCCCTTTCTCGTTCAATTTTGTTGTTAATTTTACCATTTTTGCGTCACGTACAATGTGGTTTTGGTTGAGGTTTGTGGGCATTTGATGCTTTCATTTTGTGTGAAAGTTTTTTCATTCAAATTTGGCTCTTTTGTTGGTGGAATTGAGATAAAGGGTTTCTGAGATTGAGCCAAAACCACATAATGAAACAAAACCTAAAAGTTGAGGTCTTGTTCCTTGATATGCTGAGGTCCTAGTTCATGAACCCTCCTTCCCCAAATTTGTCCTTTTCTCATTCATATTTGGCCAGAATATTATGGGTTTTGTTTAATTTACAATGTGGTTTTGTTTAAGGTTTGTGGGCTAGGTGGTGGAAAGTGGAAAACGTAGCGAAGCAATGAGGAATCGGTAAGGCTATTTGGAGATTTGTTGGCAAAAAGTGCAAAACAAAAAGCGGTCTACTTTAAATATGTATAAATTTTTATAAAACAAGAAATTTTTTTTAAAAAATCTAATAGTTGTATAAATGCATATTTGATGATTTTTAGAGATCCTAAGCGTGAAATAGACGTGTAACAATCATACAATATTAACAAAGTAATGTACTGAATGAGACAGAGGTGCTTCCAGGAGGTGGCGGCGGTGCTTCGAAGAGAGGAGATGGAGATGGAGATGGAGTTGGGGGGACAAAACCTTCACAAGGAACAGAGAATAGGATCAGAAAGCTTCGACGAACAGAAAGGAGGACGGGAAAGTTTCGATGAAGAATAGAGAGAAGGTGAAGCTTTAACGATGAGGGGTGGAGCTTCAACGACGAGAGGCGGTAGAGCTTTGATAATGAGAGGTTGTGGTGGACCTTCGGTGATCTTTGACGATGAAGACCGGTGGCGGTAATTTTGGGTTAGATTTTTTTTTTGTTCGAATAGCGGAGAGAGAGGGGATTATGAAAAGGAATGGGTTTTAATTTAAAAAATGGGTCACGTTCGGGTTTAGATTGGGTACAAACCTGATAATTTGTATTTTAAAGCATTGTATAGTGCTATAAAGCACTTTGAAGGGCTTTTATGCGCTATTGGTAACTATTTCGAGCTGATAGCGTTGATGCCGCTAAAACCACCACTTTAAACCATAGTAGTGCGAGCATAGTATGCTAAACACTACAGCCACTATTTACAACACTTGTTTTGTCATGTGGGCATGTGATGGTGTTTCTTTCAATTTCGACAATTTTGTTGTGGAATTGAGATCTTGGGTTGGTGAGATTGAACCAAAGCCACATAAAGAAGCAAAGAATTAAAATTTGAGGCCCTAAAAGCAAGGTTTTAAATATCGATTATCAGGGGATTTATCGGAGGGTCAAAATCCATATCGGATAGCAGATGTCGGAGATATATCGGGGAAAAGTAGTATTTATCGGAGTGACATTACCAGATGGTGATATATATATAATATATATTCTAAAATGTAATCTAACCATACTTAATGAGATATAAACATACCAAAATGTAAATAATGATGTTTACCATCACTAACCAATGGTAGAAACTCAGGTCGGGTCAGGTTTAAAGTGCATTGAATAGGTGCCCATTGCCCGAAATCTAAACTCAAACCAAAGGCCAATAATTTTGATTTTTGGGCTGACAATATCAGCCGATAACTCATTTTATTGCTGCATTATCGGCGATAAACATCCAAAAACGTTAACCAATTTAAAATCGAAGTTATCATAGCGGAAGGCCCCCAAAACCAATAAATCACCGATAATATCAGTTTATCGACCTATATTTAAAACATTGCCCGTAAGTTAATATGTTTGTGCATTTCTCAGCTTCTTAGATTCTCATCCTTTCCCTCGTAAAATTGTCCTTTCTCTTTCAATCTTGATGGAAATCCTAGGGGTTTTCGTTAATTTACTATGTGGTTTTGGTTTAGGCTTGTTGGCATTTGCTTTTATTTTTCATGTGTAACTGTTCTTTGTTCAAGTTTGGTTTGTTTGTTGTGGAATTTAGATCTAGGGTTTGTGAAATTGTGCAGCCACGAGTGTTTTCTCGTTCAATTTTGGTTTGAATTTTAGGTTTCTTTTGTTTAATTTACAATGTGGTTTTGATTGAGGTTTGTGTGTTTGATTTTCTTTCTTTTTGTGTGTAATTATTCTTCACTCAATTGTGGCCCTTTTGTTGTCGAGATCTAGGGTTTTTGAAATTGAACCAAACCACATGATGCAACAGTAAACCTGATTTGAGTCCCAGAAGTGGTTTGTGCATTTGAGGTCCCATTCTATGACCCTTTTCCCCCAAATTATTCTCATTATATTGTTTAATTTCGGTCTGAATTTAGTTTTTTTTAGTTTACAGTGTAGTTGTTCGTTAAGGTTTATGGGTATAGAATTTTTTTCCTTTTGTGTGTAATTGATCTTTGTTGAATTTCGGCTATTTTCTTGGTGGAGTTGGGATCTAGGGTTTTTGAGATTTGAAAGAAAACCACATGATGAACAAAAAATTTCGAGGTCCCATGACTTAATATGTTTGTGCATTTCTTAGCTTCTAAGGTCCCGATTCATGATTCTTTCCCCTCAAAATTTGTCCTTTTAACGTTCAATTATGGTGTGAATTTTAAGACGTATTTTTTATTTACAAAGTGGTTTTGATTGAGGTCTAAGCATTTGGTTTTTCCTTACATATATAACCGTCCTTCATTCAAATTTGGCGCTTATGTTGTGCAATCGAGATCTAGGTTTTGAGATGGAGCAGCATGGAGCGGTGGCTTGATTTTCTAGTTTTGGCATCCTTTGGTTTGTTGCCCATGGTTTCTGTTGGGATTTTTCTTATGTGGATCTTAGGGTTTTCTAATTATAGATTTTTAATTTGGTCCACAATGTTATATTTATCATTCAGAATAAAATCGTTGTGACTCTGGATTTTTTTAAGTCAATCAAGGCAGTCTGCTAATGTTGTTCTGAAGTTTGAATTTGCTTGGCTACTAAAGGGTGTGCTCTGAATGCTTATTTATTTGGTTGTTTTTTCAGGGGAGTGAATGCGAGTATCGTCATAGTGAGAACGCGAGACTGAATCCAAGAGATTGTTGGTATTGGTTGAACAGCACTTGTCTCAACCCAAGTTGTGCTTTTCGGCATCCGGTGAGTTCTGCTGGAAATTGTATCATCTATTGGTTATGGCATTCTGTGTGATTTTTGCATATAGCGCAAGTCATCAATGTCTCCATGCATATGGATCTACATAATATTTAAACTTGATTATGTCTTTGAATGTTTCTCCTGATCTGCATATGCATGATATGCATAAATGCTTGTTGTAGGATGTTTCTATACCCTTAATATGTGTTAGAGGTGTTTGGAATTGTATACCAAAGCTAATGCTAAATTTGACATCAAAACAGCGGAAGAAAGTTCATGCAAATTACAGCAGAAAAATTAGGAGGGAATTATGCTGCCGATAAGTTTGAATAATTAGCACGTTGGCTTTTATAGTCTGGCAATCTAAAATTTTCCAGTTTATTTGCGAAATATGGATTTTTCGAATCTTGCATTGCAAAGGGTTTGTCATCATGATTGTACGTCTTTTGGGGACTGGAGGTAGTAGAATGTGATATGTCTAGTAGAAACTCAAGAGTGAATAGTGTGTTTTTGTATTATGCATATCAAGGTACATTCTAATGTACATATATTGATAGATGCATGTGCACATAATGAGAATTTTGATATGTTTGTGCATTTCTTTTCAAATGACACATGGTATATGATGTTATTATGCATATATAGACATGAAAAATTGTTCCGTGTGTTAAGCCCCCAAAAGAATAAGTTCGTACACAGGGAATCAGAATTTTTAGGCTATGCAGTATTATGCACTCAAAACCAAGGATGCAATGGATGTAGTGCAGGTTCAACACTCAAATTAAAGGTTGTCAATGAAACTTGCATATACAGACAAGAAATGGTTTTAGTAGTACATCCTCAAAAGTAGTGCTTACATGCGGAGGTCGTGCAGTATCATGCATTCTAAATCAAGGATACAATTGGCTTATTGTAGGTATCAATGAATACACACTCAAATTTGGTGAGCACCTTCCTTTTTTTTTAATGAAGGGAATTGAGTGGTGTTGTCATAGCTTTTTTCCAGTATCTGATATCTTTCATACGGTAAGAAGATATTGCGGCGTCTTTCTTGGATGGGCTTCTTGTACCCAAAAGAAATCCAGTGACATTGCTTGGTAGCAATACCTATAAGTCGGCAGAGGCTTGATTGGTGTTCTAGCATGTATAGCTATATGCTTATTTACATTTATGAGCTCTGATACACACGCATTGATGTTCCCTTAAACTCCAACTGTTATGCATGTATCTTGCTCATCATCTCACCTTGATTGACATGGTACACGATATTATAGATTTATAGCAGACCTTACTTTTGGGTTGCACTTATTTCAAATGGATAAGTATTCTAAACAGCAATAACTTGAAATATTATCTGGGCACGTTTACATTGCATTTATATTTTAAAACTGGTCTAGTCCTAGTAAATAATAGGCCCAACTTCTTTGCTCCAAGATGGGTCATTGTAAGATGGGTCATTGTAAGACCAACTAAGTATTCCTACACTTTTATCCATAAAAATAACAGCTGAACCTTGAATATGTAATCTGATTTCTTACTTTTCCTTTTTCAGCCTCTAGAAGGGCTCCCAGCAACTGTGAGTGAAGCAACTCAGCTACAGTCCAATGCTTTAGCCCCCACAACAAAGGCAAATGTTCCATGTTACTTCTATTACAATGCATATTGCATCAAAGGTGATCAATGCCCTTTCTTGCATGAGGTTATGTCTGCTCAGAAGTTTCCAAAAGCAGCCCCTGAATCCACCATTGTCCATCCTCCTCTGGAAAATAAAGCATCAGCTGGTAGCGATACAGGATCGGCATCAATAGAAGTGCCATCTAATCCTCCTAATGGCACCATAGAGCTTATCAAACAAGAAAATTCCAAAGAGATCATCCAACAACCAGCTCCCGCTGTTGTTTTAGAAGAACCCAGCCCCTCTGCAGAGTCATCAGTACCTGACTGTGAGGAACCTGGCATTAAGTCTCCAGAAGAAAAATCACCTCTCCCTACTGAGTTTATGAATGGTAGTCCTCAACTTTGCCCAGATCAGAGTTCAGATGACATTGTGAAGGAATCTGCTGAAGGAGACGAATGGTGGGAGTCATCCCCTGGGTTTGATGTGCTTGTGGATGATGGATCAGAACAATTAGCTTACGAAGAAGATGCTGACTATTTACTAGTTCAAGACAGAGAGTCTGAGATGCTCCATAGAGGACTACTCCCCTATGATTACGAAGTTGCTGCTGGCTTTGATCCTCTAGCTTATCCAGATGCTGGTTACTTATATGAGCATGGTGTATATGAAAATTTTGATCATGCAGACAACAGAAATACTCCTGAATGCTTCCATCGTGTTTCTGAGCACTCGAGGAAGAGGAATTTGGAACCATCACCACATAGAAGAAGGAAGCCATCAAGAAGGAGGCATGAAGTGATTGGTGGTAGAGAAGTTGTGGATCTTAGGGACCATTTGAGGAAGCGAAGAAGAACAGATCGAAGTCCACACAAGCGCCATTCCTCTCGAAGT